CGGAGGAAGTTTTTGAGGTGGGCTGTGGAGATGGGTGGGGTGCTACTGGCCCATCATCATAGCCAACTAATGTTTTCTTTCTCATAGGTAAAAGTGGAAGAGCTAGATGAGAAATGGGCAGGTTCCCTCCGGCTAGGACTGACCACACTGGCACCAGGGGAAATGGGACCTGGAGCAGGCAGTGGCCCAGGGCTGCCGCCTTCCCTGCCAGAGCTCCGGACTAAGCCTACCTGGATGGTCTCCAGCTGTGAAGTGAGGCGTGATGGGCAGCTCCAGAGGATGAACTATGGCCGGAATCTAGAGAGACTTGGGGTGAAGCACCTGACTCTGGAGCAACTGGTGAGGGGTTGGGAATGGAGTGTCAGAGAGAGGTGGGCTGAACATTTGTCTTTTTCCCACGTTGGACCTAGGTGGGTAGCCGTGTAGGCATTCGTCGAGGAGCAGATGACACAATGCACATCCTGGTAGATGGAGAGGATATGGGGCCTGCAGCCACTGGCATTGCCAAGGTACACCGAATAGCTTCCTTGGGTCCTGAGAGTGGGCTCTGGGGTGGAAGCTTTGTGCTGATCTCTGACTTTCTGAGTCTTATATTTCTAGAATGTGTGGGCTGTATTGGATCTATATGGGCCAGTACGCAGTGTGTCCATTGTCAGTTCCACAAGGCTGGAGGAGCCAGAATGCACCCAACCTCCTTCCCCCAGCTCAGACACCGGCAGTGAAGGCGAGGAGGATGACGAGGGCGAGGATCATGGCCTGGGCGTAAGAGGCTACAGCAGGGGCTGCTGGCCAATTAATGGCCATTGTACACCAGATTCTCCAATTGCAGGGCAGAGGCTCACACTTGAGCTCTGTGTATGCTCCAGTGGGGTGGATCAGGCCTGCCATTGGCCCCTCATGCATTGTCTCTTCTTCCACACCAGGGCCAGAATCAAGTTGGTATTATGCCTGCAGCCTTTGAGTTCCTGGAGAACCATGGGAAGAATATCCTCTTGTCCAATGGAAACCATACAGCTACACGGGTGGCCAGCTATAATCAGGGCATCGTTGTCATCAGCCAGCCCCTGGTGCCCCAGCTGCTAGTCCAGGTGTGCCCTGCCTCCATGTTCCCAGCTCCTCTTGCTCCAGCCATGAACAACCCTCGGGAAAGGGCCTTTCTGCTGCAAAACAAAAGATATGTCAGAAGTTAGCCAGGTCAATGAAGCCCTTAGTAGCAAGAATCCTTATAGAGGTGATAGTAAGACCAAGGCTTAAAGAGGGGAGAGAGGGGGGCTGGGATTGTGGCTCAGCGGTAGAGTGCTCGCCTAGCACAGGTGGGCAGGACCCAGGTTCGATCCTCAGCACCATATAAAAATAAAGGCGTTGTGACCATCTACACCTAAAAGTAAATAAATAAATATTTAAAAAAAAAAAAAGAGGGGAGGGAGAGGGACTGGGGTTGTAGCTCAGTGGTTGAGGGCTTGCCTGGCATGTGTGAGGATGCCAATAAAGATATTGTGTCCATCTACAACTAAAAAAAAAATATTTAAAAAAATATGACTTTATAGTTTCTGGTCTCTCCAAGAATCAGAAAGGACAGTGGCCCAGGCAACTCTTTTGGAAGTATATTCCCTTCCTGGCTGGGGTGAGATCCTTGTTCTGCAGTGCAGGTAGGTGGCCTCTGCCCAGAAGGCTGTGATTGTGGAGTAGTTCCTTCTCCTGTAGGTGCGGATAGACTCCCTGAACCGACAGTGGACATCCTCCCTTGTCCTGGGAGTCATCACCTGCCCACCTGAGAGGCTCAACTTCCCTGCTTCTGCTTGTGCCCTCAAACGGGCAGCCTGGCTACTGCGGGGCCGTGGTGTCTTCCACAATGGTCTCAAGGTGAGTGAGGGAGAAGAGAGAGAGGGTCAGGTCTCTTGAGTAGGGAGGAGTTGGACAAAAGGAAGAAGTAGAACTCATAGTCCTGGTTGTAGGATAGCAGATCCGAAGAGGGTGGAAGTTGGTGGGGGGCAGGGGCAAGGGTATGAGTGTCCTTATCTGGTCAGTCTCAGCCCTACTGCTTCCTCCTACGCAGTTGACAGTATTACAGTTATGGAAGTGGGGGTAGAGCCTAGGCAGTGAGCAAGGTTGGAGACAAAGCCCAGGGACAGAAAACTGAAAGCAGAGTGAAAGGTGGGATGTCTGCTGGTGATGGAAGTCTGAAGACAGTAGGTCTCTCCTCCCAGATCTGTGAGAAGTTTGGGCCAAATCTGGACACATGTCCTGAAGGCACCATCCTGGGACTGCGGCTAGACAGCTCTGGAGGATTGCATCTCCATGTCAATGGGGTGGACCATGGGGTAGCTGTGCCAGATGTGCCCCAGCCTTGTCATGCACTTGTGGACCTCTATGGGCAGTGTGAGCAGGTTAGTGGCAATGGGGGAGGCAGTGCCTGGGAGACTGGGAAGTTGAGGTACATAAATCAGCAGCCCTTGGGGGTTGAGAAAGCTTTGGCTGACCACCCCTTTCCTCTACAGGTGACAATTGTGAGCCCTGAACCAGGGGCTGCCAGTGGAAAGAGTGCTGGAACCCAAGGGGACATGGAAAAAGCAGACATGGTGGATGGTGTGCCAACCTGAAGGGACCAAGATCCTACACCCCCACCTGCCCCATTCCAATCCTTCTAGCCCAGCTTCTGTGACCTCTGCCCCCTCTATTCCCTCAGGTATTAAAGAGAGCGTGTGCTGGGGTCCACAGCCTGCTGCTAGCCCTCTAAAGAGTTGCGAGTATCATGCCCTTTGCTCCCGCTTCCAAGAATTGCTGCTGCTTCCTGGTGAGTCCCTGCCCCCCAGAATTTGCCTCATTTCTATGGCCAGCTGGAGGGCAGCAGCAGGACCCAGGGTGGGAACCATAGCACCAAGCTGGACACTCACTGTCCCACAGAGGATTATTTCATACCTCCGCCGAAACGTAGCCTGTGCTACTGTGAGTCTTGTCGGAAGCTTCGAGGAGATGAGACCCATAGGCGCCGAGGGGAGCCTCCCCGGGAATACGCCCTGCCCTTTGGCTGGTGCAGGTTCAACCTCAGGTATGTATGAGCCAAAGCCATACATGTTCCCTATTGCTTTTTGCCCTCATAAGAGAGTCCCAGCGGGTGCATGTAAAAACTGGTAGAACTTCCTGAGTAGGGAATGACCTTGGGAAGCCAGTGACCTTTGTCCTGTCTGCTTTTGTTCTCTTAGAGTGAATCCCCATCTGGAAGCTGGGACACTAACCAAGAAGTGGCACATGGCATATCATGGGAGCAATGTGGCAGCTGTACGGAGAGTGCTGGACCGAGGGGAGCTGGGAGCAGGTACTGTAGAGCAAGCAGGGACAGGGAAGCCCTAGCTTGGGGTCCCTGGGAGGAATCACAAGGGCCATCCTGACCCACCCAGCTCTCCTTGCAGGTACTGCCTCCATCCTGAGTTGCCGGCCCTTGAAGGGAGAACCTGGGGTGGGGTTTGAGGAGCCTGGTGAGAACTGTGCACCTCCCCGGGAGGAGCAGCCCCCTCCAGTGCTGCTTTCCCCCTCCCTTCAATATGCTGGGGCCGAGACCCTAGCCTCCAAAGTGCAGTGAGTACACAAGATGGGGGGGGGGGTGGCTCTGGGGTTTTCAACCTAGACGGGGTCCTAGAACCTCTTGGATCCTCATGATTTGTCTCCCATCTCATACCCTGGCTTGTTAGTTGCTCCTCCATCTGAGCCCTTTCTTCACTCATTCATTGAAGGTACCACTTACCACATGCTATCTGAGTGAAGGAGAAAGGAACCTTACTCTGTTGTAACTTACCTTCTCTAGAATGTTTATACATAATGAGTCTTTAGGATTTTTAAGGGTGAAAAGTAGTGTGGAAACAAAAGGAGAGTGGAGTGATAAGCATTGCGCTTGGAGTGGGCATATTAAATAGGATGTCAGGATAGGCGTTCATTAAAAGGTGAGGTTTGAGCAAAGCTATGAGGAGGGCAGGGAAGGAGATTGCTAAGCAGTCTTTGGGGAGGAAAAGCATTGCAAGTAGAAAACTGCTGGAATTTAGCACTTAGTGATGAGAATACTTCCAAGGAACAGCAGGCCTGTGTGGTGAGCAGTTAGGAAGGTGGAATGGTGAGGGGGCCAAAGGCCTCACTCTTGGCTTCTACTTTTTGACAGATTCCGGGATCCCAAATCCCAGCGGACGCACCAGGCTCAGGTGGCGTTCCAGGTGTGTGTGCGTCCTGGCTCCTACACCCCTGGCCCCCCTTCTGCTGCCCTCAGAGAACCTCCTGACCCTCACTTCAGCCCAGCAGAACTTGAGTGGGTCACTAAGGAGAAGGGGGCCACACTCCTCTATGCGCTCCTGGTGCGGGTGGAATGAAGGGTGAGACACCACTATACTACAAGCACAGTCGGGCCTCGGCCCTGGACTCTGAGTGATGACTGCCATCACCTCATTCCAGTGACTCACGGCATGCACAGGTGCTGTCCTAGCAGACGCAGGACAGATTCAGAAAGGAAGTGGAGCACCTCTCCATGTCCAGGGGTCCAGCACAGCTTCCTCTAACGAGAGGGAGCTCGTGGGGAGCCCATTCCAGGCCCTGGGTCCTTCCTTCATGCACTGATTTGGGGAACACGACTCCCTGTTACTCCCCTCCCCAACATCACTTAATTTATTTCCGTTTTTGTTTCTGGTTACTGTGAATCCCAGAGGAGTCTCTCCCTGAGCCCACACGAAGCTGCTTTTTCCGGGGCCATCGGGCGGGAGTGGGGAAGGAAGGAAGGGCGGGGGAAGCCGCGGGCCCTCTGTACAGTTGTTACCGACTGATTTCTAAGGAGCCAATAAATACGGTCTCAGAGCATCCGCCTCAGCCTCTGTCTCGCGCGCCCCCAAGAGCCCGCGGTCCCAGGGCTGCCCGGTGAAATGAAGGGCTGCTGGCACGCAGCTGGAGCCTGCCCAGATCCCAGCTGCCACAACCGAGTTTGGACTCGCGGGCATCCGTCCCCGCGCGCTTCCGTATTTCCTTCCTGTCCAACCCACAAGGCTGGTCGCCGCCGTGACTCCGGAAGGATTCGTTCGGGCCGCCGGATGTGACGCTAAGGCCAAGGCGCGCCAGAGGCCGCGGAGAGAGCATCTAGAAGGTGAGTAGGTAGGGGTCGATACCCCGGGGGTTCGAGGGAGGGGCGGGGGCGCCGAACCATGGACCCTGTGCGGCCATCATGCGCTGGGGCTGTGACCCGGCAGAGCTGCGTGCCCCCGAAACACGTGACCCGGTCCGAGAGCTGACCGCGCCGACAGGCTTCCGCCTCGTCCCTGCTCAGTTTCCGCCTCCCTGCAGGCACCGTCTGAGGTCTGGCAGTCAGTGACAGAGCCGGGCGCCCGCGGTCCGAGCGCCTCCGACAGCACCATGCCCGCGCTCCTGGAACGTCCCAAGCTTTCCAACGCCATGGCCAGGGCGCTGCACCGGCACATCATGATGGAGCGGGAGCGCAAGCGGCAGGGTGAGCTGGGGCCAGAGCGATAGAACATACGCATGGCTAAGGTGTCTCAGCTGCCCCAGGACTACCCCCACCCACGGGCTGAGCAGTGCAGTGCGCCCGCAGGCGAAGCTAGAGGGAGGGAGGAAACAGCCCCCCATTAGTGTGGGAGTAGAGGCCTGGTCCAAGTTCCAGAAGCCAGAGATGGGTAGGACCTTGGAGAGCTACTGCCAAGTTCACAAGTGGTGGGATAATGGCGGGATAAGTGGCCTTTGCCGATTTTCAGTCTCAAAAAACATTAGTTTCACCACCCTGCCACTTCATTTTGGCTGATTTTTCCAGAGGAGGAAGAGGTGGACAAGATGATGGAACAGAAGATGAAGGAAGAACAGGAGAGAAGAAAGAAAAAGGAGATGGAAGAGAGAATGTCACTAGAGGAGACCAAGGAACAAGTAAGCTGTCCCTGATTGCTCCAAGCTCTGGCTTTTTCCCTTGGTTCTCCCTGTCTTATCTCCTTTCCCCTTCCCTTCCAGATTCTCAAGTTGCAGGAAAAGCTTTTGGCCCTACAGGAAGAGAAGCACCAACTTTTTTTGCAGCTCAAGAAAGTTTTACATGAGGAAGAAAAACGGAGGCGAAAGGAGCAGAGGTGGGATCGGATCAGAGAGCTAAAAGTAAAATTGGGATAAGGTGGATTGGGTAACAAAAGAATCAATGTTTAATGGCAAAAAGGGGGTAACTGCCCTTTGGTTTTCACCTGTCCTTCCTTTCACTCCAGTGACCTGACCACTTTGACATCAGCTGCATACCAGCAGAGCCTGACTGTTCACACAGGAACTCACCTCCTCAGCATGCAGGGTAAGGACTAAAGAAACCATTTGACAGAAAATGGCTCCTCTTGGAGGTTGAGGCATCACAAAATCCCTCTCCCTTTCTAGGGAGCCCTGGAGGACATAATCGCCCAGGCACCCTCATGGCAGCTGACAGAGCTAAACAGATGTTTGGACCCCAAGTACTCACGGTGAGAAAAATGGATTTGAGTGTATAGCTCTATTTCTTCTCTTTACTGCTTCATCCCAGGCATCCTGGTCACCAGTGTTCAAGTCACAAACATAACCAAGCACTTATTGAAAGGGCAAGTAGGGCAACGATGTATACAGAAGTCCTTGAGTTTGTTTTTAAGGACTTTACAATCAGTTCTCCCTTCCTCCTTAGACCCGGCACTATGTGGGCTCAGCAGCTGCTTTCCCAGGGACTCCAGAGCATGGGCAATTCCAAGGAAGTCCAGGTGGTGCTTATGGGACTGCTCAGCCCCCACCTCACTATGGACCCACACAGCCAGCCTATAGTCCTAGTCAGCAGCTCAGAGGTGAGTAATGGGAAGAATGGGGTGGCTTTCCTGAAAGCCCACAGGTAAGGGTAGAGCAAAAAGAAATTCTAACGGGCATGCCTCCTCCCTTCCTCAGCGCCTTCAGCGTTTCCTGCAGTGCAGTACCTATCTCAGCCACAGCCACAGCCCTATGCCGTGCATGGCCACTTTCAGCCCACCCAAACAGGTGATAATATCCTAGGCAGGAACCCCTAGCTCCACAGGTCCTACCTGCCTCATTCTCTTCTTTCACACACCTCTCTTCCCCACGTAGGGTTCCTCCAGCCTGGTGGTGCCCTGTCCTTGCAAAAGCAGATGGAGCATGCTAACCAGCAGACTGGCTTCTCTGACTCAGTAAGTAAAGGGCCTTGGGAGGTTGGAGGAAGGGCTAGGCTTAAGGGGATCCCCAGTGTGCTTCAGGCAACTTTTTGTCCTCTGCAGTCCTCCCTGCGCCCCATGCACCCCCAGGCTCTGCATCCAGCCCCTGGACTCCTTGCCTCCCCCCAGCTCCCTGTGCAGATGCAACCAGCAGGAAAGGTAAGGATGGTAACCAATATCCCAACACTACCAAGCAAACAGGATAGGTGGCTCACACTTTTTGGTTGTCCCCTCCTCCTTCAGTGTGTGTATCAGGAGGGATGTTAAGTGGAAGGGAGGGTATATTCACTGACAAAACCCTCCTTTCATCACCATCCAGTCAGGCTTTGCCACTACCAGCCAACCTGGCCCTCGGCTCCCCTTCATCCAACACAGCCAGAACCCAAGATTCTACCACAAGTGACCATCAAATTATGTCTTCAACCCCATCCCTCCATCCCCCATGAGTGAGGGTCTTTATTCCCTTTATGTCCCAGGCCAATAAAATCTACCTGCCACTGCCCCTGGCTGCTGCTGTTTGTGTCACTTCCCATCCAGCTGTCTGGAATATGCCTAGGCTGCTTGGAGGGTGGGGGGGATGGCTGGTAGATTAACAAGTCTATTCTGCCAATTATTTCCAGTCAACAAATACCCATTTAATTCAAATAAGCAGCTGACTTGGGGGGCTTCATATTAAACTTGTAGTTTTATTCAGGTTTGATTTTTAACAAATGTGTCGGGGAGAGAGCCCGCAGGAAAGGGTAAAGCCCATAGGGGCAGGGCCCTCCCAGATGCCTGAGGAGGGGGCAGGTCCCCTCCCCTCTCCTCCTCTTCCCTCCCCAATGAAGGGATTTGGGGAGAGATACAGGCAGGGGAGGGGGCTGGTCCCTGTTCTGTAGGGTTGGTGCTTGGTTGAAAGGGCTATGGGGGAATAGGGGACCAGACCAAGGACAAGTGGGGGGTAAGGACACAAGGACCATTTGCCAGAATCCACAGCTTTCTGATTCCAAATTGAATTAAAAAAAAAAAAAAGAAAAAAAAAAAAAAAACTAAACCACAAGCAGTACCCATCCTTTCTCCCCCACCAGGACTGTAGTGCAAGGGGAGAAAAGGAAGGCAGCTTCACCAAGGCCATGGCTCCCTTGCTCCTGGCCAAGGGAGCTAGGTGAAGGGCAGGGGCTCCCCGACAGATTGAGGGGGTGGGGGAAAACCAAAATAAAACGTCAAATAAATTGTGTAGGAGTCGTCCAGCCAAGGGTCCAGCCACAGCAGGACCTGGCTGGGGGAGGGGCCTCTGCAGGCTCGAGGATCGCTGCTGCCACCACTGCCACCCTGAGTAAGAGACAAACCAAGTAAAACAGAATAATTAATACCTTCAACAAGGGTGGAGAGAACAGGACCAGGAGACAGAAAGCAAGCCTGGCATGATTAAAAGATCAGAAATAAATTTGATGAGAACAAAATATGTAAAGGGGGACAGTGGGGGCTTTGTCACTCACCTGGGAGCCAGTTATTTTGCCATGGCCTTGATTGCAACAGCTGCCTCCTCTGTCATGGCAGACAGCACCGTGATCTGGAGAAGAAAAAAGGATAGTTAGGAGATACCTGAAGTTGGAGAAACAGCAAAGCTGAGCATACAAGGGAGAAGAGAACAGCATACCAGGATCTCTTCTCCACAGTCATACTTCTGCTCAATCTCCTTGCCGAGGTCTCCCTCGGGCAGACGAAGGTCCTCTCGCACCTCCCCACTGTCCTGGAGCAGTGATAGGTACCCATCCTGGATGCCAATCAGCTGGGGGCAAACAGAGAAGGAAGTTGAAGACAGGCCCAGGTAGGCTGAGGATAAAGGGTCTGATGAACAATTTGGAACAAGAGCAAAATATCAAATACCCTCTCTCCCTCCTCTCCCACAACTTCTGGTCAATCTGTATTTTGCACCCATGAACCACTAACCCATCCTCATCCTGTACACCTACATACCTGGAAGTCATTCCTTTTGATGTTGGGAACATCCATATTATGAGTTGACGGGCAGATATCTTCATATTTCTTCCCAGTAAAGATGTCAATACCAACCAGGTGGACCTGTGTATATGCATCACAAAGAGAAACCCAACCAACTCTAGGACGGAGGAGATAAAGGCTCATGTAGTTACTAGCTGATGAAGGAAGTCAGTCTACCTTGTTATGGCAAAGACAAGCAAAGTTGGAAATGAACCAAGAAATACTAAAGCCAAAAACAAAAAACAAATTCTGAGGCTAAAAGACCACCAAAGGTCAAGGTGGTAGAGCAGGTGTAGGGAAGTCCATTACCTTATCAGAAAACACTGACAGAGAATGTTAGGAGCCGAGGGAGGAATCCTTGGCAAAAGTCTGGAAGAGTTTCTGGACACCCATGTAAGGGGCTGAGAATTTTGAGAATAAGGTAGAAGGGGGAAAAAAGTCTGTTAAAAGAATTGGGGATGGGGCTGGGGATGTGGCTCAAGCGGTAGCGCGCTCGCCTGGCATGCGTGCGGCCCGGGTTCGATCCTCAGCACCACATACAAACAAAGATGTTGTGTCCATCGAGAACTTAAAAAAATAAACATTAAAAAATTATCTCTTAAAAAAAAAAAAAAAAAAAAAAAAAATTGGGGAAAAACAAACTTCAAGATCAAAAAGAACTACGTATAGTTAGGGAGTAAGAAAACTAGAGAAAGCTACACATTAGCAGGATCAATGTCAAGTCCATAAAACCACAAGAAATTCAACAAGAATGAATCAGGTTTAATTTCTGAGGAAAAAGAAAAACTCTGAGGTGACAAGGGAAGCACTAGTGAGAACACTAAGACCAGAGAAAACAGGGAGGCTCAAGGAATTCAAGGAGTGGGCATGGGCAGGTAGAGGGAAATGGAGACTGCATCAGAATTCCAAAGGGAAAGGTAGAACTGCAGAAAGAAGCAGTTGAAAAGCAGAAGTTTGAAAATTCAAGCACACTGGAGCCTTTCAAGGGAATGCTACAGTCTGTGTTAGGACCAGAGAAATTCACCAAGCATAGTGATGTAAACAGTACCTAACAAAGGCCCAAGGAAGAAACAAAAAAAGTGAATGCCAAGACCAAGGAAGAAACAGCTGAACAGCCAGAGCATAAAGGACTGAAGAAAAGTCAAAGGACCATGAAGAAATGTCAAGAGACTGGCACAAAGATGGAGAAAAAGGACTACCAGACAATGATGGGGGTACAAAAGGAGGCTGAAGGCTGGGAGCAGGTGTAGTCTGAATGGGTATAAGGGCTGAGTGCTAAACAAAAGGACTAAGACAACAAACAAACAAACAAAAAACCCAAAAAACCCCACACACAACTAAAGGCAGGCAGGGGTCAGGACTGAAGGCAGCTTGCTGCCAGAAGCCCTATGTATATATGAGGTGTGGGGAAGGTAACATGTGAAAGTCTAACCTTGGCATGGCCATGCTTGCCAGTCTTCGAAGTAGACATCTCGACGATCTTACAAGGCCGGCCTTTGAGCACCACAAAGCCATTCTTACGTAATGCTGAGCACTGCATTGGGAAGGTGGCTGAGGCCCCCGCATCTCCTGTCTCGAAGTCCAAATCATCTGCCATTTTAAGAGGCTTCGATTCCAACTAAAGCCAAGAAGAGAACTGGGGTCAGTAAAGATAGAAGTTAACAGGACCTCTAATCTATTCCATTTCTCTCTGGAAACACTGCTGTTTTCCCCAACCCCTTATTCCACTATCCACCTATAATAAAAGTCAAAATTCTCGGACTAACTACCGACTGGGGTCAAATACACTGGAGAACTGGTGTGTGTAAGTAACGGTGGAATAGCTGGATCCTCCCCCAAATTAAAGTTCAAGTGGTACCTGGGAAAGGAAAGATCCAGGGACTTAAGTCCTACTTCCTGGGGTGGGGAGGACTCAGGTGTTACTTGCCACTGAAACCAACCACCCCTCTTCCCCACACTTAGCCAGAGCTATAATTAGGTGAGCAGCTATGAGCCAGCAAAAGGGTGGGGCTAATGTGTGTAGGGGGAGGGTGGAAACCGGAGGACAAGGCCCCACCCGGCTGTTACACCCCCCCCACCCCTATCCACACACAAGCCAGTCACTGGTACAGGAAACCACAAGGCCTCTTTGGGGGATTCCCGCCTCTCCAACATGCACTTGCAGTCAAGGGGGTGAAAGTAGTTTCCTAAACCATCCCCCTGCCAAACACCTCGATCTCAGTTCCCAAAGGGAACCCAGCATCTCCTCGAGGGCCCGCCCACTTTTCCCAGGATGCATCGGTGCTGTCGACTTTTTAGGCCCGGCCTGTGCAGTCAGAAAGTGAGAGAGTAGGGGGTGGTGAATGACAATAAAATGAAAGCGAAGGGTTGGTAGTAGTGAGTAGTAAAAATCACACTAGGCCGAGAATTAGGAACTCTAAAACCAAGTTACTCCCAATACTAGACACGAGAAAGACTATTAGTGACAAAGTGAAGACAGCATATCATGGTGGGGAACTCATCTGTCCCGGACTTTAAGGCGCTGTTGGCACGTGCCTAGAGAGGAGAACTCATGTCCAATCGCTCTTAGTTTCCCAATTTCTCCGGGTCTCGCAGTTGTAAGAGTGCCACTTACACCTGGCTGACCGCCTCACTTCACGTGAAGACTGGGAGAAAAGCTCCAGGCGCCCATGAGGCTGAGGAACGCTAACATATGCCTGCAGCTGGCCCTCCGGGGTGATCGAAAACTAGTCCTTAAGGTTCTCCCACTATCCAAAATTCCAGGTTCCCTCTGACGCCCGGGAGGACGAGCTCTCCCTGCGCCGGGGGTTGCCGGCTCCCGCCCACCATGTGGCCGCCCGGGGCTTCCGGTGGCCGGGACCTGGGGGGAGGGGTCCCCGCGCTGCCATGCGGACCCGGTCCACATTCGGCCATGCGGCCTCCGACCCCGAGGGCAGCTTGCCATGGGGGGCACTTCCGGTGCCGCGAGTGCCCCCTCCCCAAACGCTGCGCCAGGCCGGCGACTCGCTGCCTCCCCTCCCCCCGCCAACCCCCCCTTCACATGCGCTCTCACGGAACAGCCCCCTCCCCCACCTCACGTGGCCGCGCGGTGCCCGGTCCTCAACGACCCTGGGACCCTTGACCCGACGGGGCTGATCTGGCCCCCGTCCCTCTCCCCGGAGCAGCCGCCTGGAGGCCTCTCCCGCGTGGCGGCCTCGCGGCTCGCCGTCCCCCGCCCTGCATCGCTCCAACGTCACCCGGCCGGCCCCAACCGTCACCCCGCGCGCCAACCGGGCCGCGCGCCCGCGCCTCTCCATACCTCGCGCCGCTCCCCGACCAAACCCATGCGGTGGTGGCCGCCGCTCCCTTCTGCCCCCTCCCCGACCCCCGTATAGTTCCATCTCTCCTTCCCTGCTCAAGCAGAGGTTCCGCGCAGGCGCGTCCTGCCCGCTCTCACCTCGCGCGAACGCAATGACTCGACCCCGTCCGCTCGCCGCGGCCCAACCGCTGCCTCCGAGCCCGCTACCGCCGCCGCCGCC